GAAATTTTTTTTTTTTTTGAAAAGTGTTGCTCTGTTGCCCAGAATGGCACAATCTCGGCTCACTGCAACCGCACCAGGTCTACAAGAAATTTGAACGACATATTTTGCAAAGCCAGAGTTAGTCTTTTAAGTACTATGTAAATAATGAAGATGACTGTCTGCAAAAAGTTAAGTTCAATTACCTCGTGGTCTGGATAAAAGAGATTAAAATGTAAAATATTATGGGTAGAATATTGTTATTCCAGTTTATACTTCCGAAGATTCAAAGTTACTAGGTTCCAGGAATGACTTGTACTAAGCCAAAGACAAATACACATACTTATTGTTTTATTAACATAAGTAACAGACAATCTGGTCAATGAATATTCTACTTAAAAATGAAAGAAAAAGCTCATGTCCCTGGCTATCATGCAGTCAGCCTATTTAGTGAAAACATACAGGCCGGGCGCAGTGGCTCACACCTGTAATCCTAGCACTTTGGGAAGCCGAGGCAGTGGATTGTCTGAGCTCAGGAGTTTGAGACCAGCATGGGCAACATGGCGAAACCCCATCTCTACTAAAAATACAAAAATTAGCTAGGTGTGATGGTGTGCACCTGTAGTCCCAGTTACTTGAGAGGCTGAGAATCACTTGGACCCAGGAGACAGAGGTTGCAGTGAGCTGGGATCATGCCACTGCACTCCAGGCTGGGCGACAATCTGTCTCCAGAAAAAAAAAAAAAATTATACAATCCCCATGTATATATTTGATTCTTAATCAAATGAGAAGTTCTAAAATGCTGTGTTGGTCCTATTTGGGGATTTTATAATTTTTATGTATTTAGAAAATAAAGCTGGAGATCTGCTGATGAAAGCTAAAAAGTATGGAACTCCCTCAGCTGAAGGCCTGTAGGTAAGTTAATGGAGGGCAAGGACTGACTCTCTTTTATCTTCATACACTCAACATACATACAAGTTCACAGAATACACTGATTTTGCTGAAATATTGCATTCATTAATTCAACAAGCATTTACTTGGCATCTACTATGTGCCAGGCCCTGAACTAGGAAATAAGGTATTCATTAGTGAAGCAAATAGAGTACAGTCTCTGTCTTGATAGACTTTATAATATAGTGGGGGAGGCAAACAAATAATTACACCAACAAATAAGATTATTAAAAATTGTGATAGATGCTGTGAGGGACATCAACAGGGTACACTGATAGAGGGAACCTACTTAGAATGGTCAGCAAAGGTTTCTCAAACCCTTACAAGGTGGTGGTATTTAAGCCTAAACTTAAACGAGAACGAGCCAGCTATCTGAACAGCATAAAGTCTGATGAGCTATATTCTAAACTAACATAACACAGCTTAGCTCACATTTGGTAATTCACAAAGTAATTTCTGCACTTTGAAATCTGCAATCTTCTAAACAAGGTCTGTCATTTCTAGCCCTCTCCAATCTAAACATCAACAATTACCCAGCACTCTTTACATATGGTTAGCATTTATCCCCAAATTGACTTTTGTAGAAACATCTTTTTTTTAAATTAAGAATATCTTCGGCCAGGCACAGTGGCTCATGCCTGTAATCCCAGCACTTTGGGAGGCCGAGGCGGGTAGATCATGAGGTCAGGAGATTGAGACCATTCTGGCCAACATGGTGAAACCCCATCTCTAGCAAAAATACAAAATTTAGCTGGGTGTGGTGGCGCATGCCTGTAATCCCAGTTATTCAGGAGGCTGAGGCATGAGAATTGCTTGAACCCAGGAGGCTGAGGTTGCAGTGAGCCAAGATCACACCACTGCACTCCAGCCTGGTGACACCGCGAGACTCCGTTTCAAAAAAATATACCTATCTTCTACATAATTCAAATACAGTTACAAGAGAACCAGAGGGAGAAAACTAATATTTATAAGGGACTAATATAGGCTATGCACTTAATACTTCAATTTAAAGCAGAAAGTATCTCAAGTGATACCATTACAAAATTAACAAAATGCTCTCTTTTACACCCAAATTTTGTGTTGGTAGTGGAAGCAGTTTTAAAGAAATGTATGGGTTTATACAGGCATAAATGTTGGATGTGAGGAGGGAAGAGATCAGAACAGAAAGACATTATCTTGGTAAACTCACTGCAGTCCATAATGTAGTTCTCTCAGATATTCAGGTCCAAGAACTTCCACCCAAACTCAAAAAGTATTTATATACCAGAATTATATTTTATTAATTTTCATTATGAAATATATTATCAACCAGGCACAGTGACTCACGCCTGTAACCCCAGCACTTTGGGAGGCTGAGGTGGGTGGTTCACGAGGTCAGGAGATCGAGACCATCCTGGCTAACACGGTGAAACTCCGTCTCTACTAAAAATACAAAAAAATTAGCCGGGCATGGTGGTATGTGCCTGTAATCCCAGCTACTTGGGAGGCTGAGGCAGGAGAATCGTTTGAACCCAGGTGGCAGAGGTTGCAATGAGCCGAGATCATGCCACTGTACCCCAACCTGGGCGACAAGAGTGAGACTCTGTCTCAAAAATCTATATATAATCATATTGATCAAACCTTTTTTTTTTTTTTTTTTTGAGATACAGTCTTGCTCTGTCGCCCAGGCTGGAGCGCAGTGGTGCAATCTTGGCTCACTGCAACCTCTGCCTCCCGGGTTCAAGAGATTCTCCTGCCTCAGCCTCCCGAGGAGCTGGGACTATAGGCGCCTACCACCATGACCGGCTACTTTTTTTTTTTGTATTTTTAGTAGAGACAGGGTTTCACCATCTTAGCCAGGATGATCTCGAACTCCTGACCTCGTGATCTGCCTGCCTCGGCCTCCCAAAGTGCTGGGATTACAGGCGTGAGCCACCGTGCCCAGCTCTGATCATATTTTTAAGGCTACTGCTCATAATCCTGCCCATGTCAATTTATTAGTCTACAATGGAGATTACAGCTTTCAAAGTGAACATGTCCTTATCTGCACTGTCACCTGTACATCAAAACTTGTTATCAGGAAGCTAAAAGTGTTAAGAATACATGCCTGATGAACATGGAAATCAGGCAAAGGGATAGAGATGTTTCAGTCAGGCCATAGTCAGGATTGATCAAATATTCCTACCCCTCGACAGAGATTACCTTTCTAGTTACCAGAATTTTCATGAACTCCAGATGATGTATCTTTTTCCTTTGTACAGCAGTATATAAACATTGCCGAATTTTGCTTTTCACTTTTTTCAATGTTCAGTGCTGACTGACCATCCATTCCATTTCTGCAGATACAGCCTTTCTTTAGCTGTGTTAATGTCATCTATTTAATTCAATTAAAAAACATTTCAGAGTGCATACTACCTGCTGAGCACTATATCAGGTTCTGTGCATACAAGGATAAAGATAAGAGCCACATTCTCAAGACTCCATCTTCTATTAAGGAAGACCTTCTCTTTCCTGTTTTTGACCTGGGAGATTGCAGGTCTTTTACTTTATTTATCTATTTATTGAGACGGAGTCTTGCTCTGTTGCCAGGCTGGAATGCAGTCGTGCAATCTAGGCTCACCACAACCTCCAACTCCCGGGTTCAAGCAATTCTCCTTCCTCAGCCTCCAGAGTAACTGGGATTACACGCACGGGCCACCTAAGATTTGTATTTAAGTACACTAGCATTTGTATTTAAGTGACCTTGATCACAAGGTCAGGAGATCAAGACCATCCTGGCCAACAAGTTGAAACTCCATCTCTACTAAAAATACAAAAATTAGCTGGGCATGGAGGCGTGGGCCTGTAGTCTCAACTACTTGGGAGCCTGAGGCAGGAGAATTGCTTGAAGCCGGGAGGCGGAGTTTGCAGTGAGCCGAGATCGGGCCACTGTGCTCCAGCCTGGAGACAGAGCAAGACCATCTCAAAAATAAAGGAAAAAAATGAAATATATAAAGTGCGTAGGACAGTTCCTGACATATCCCCCAATTCACTTACTATATCTGGCAAACTAAAATCAACAATTCCAGGTTCTAAATTTGTGCAGGGTTTTTAGATCCCCTATTTACTACTCCCCCAGATAAACCAGGAGTAGTATTCATTTTGGTAGATTAAGGCCCAATTCACTGCCATATAGTACTATCAGAAAACAGAATCAAAACCCAGATCACTTTTCTAGCTGAAAGCTTTAATCTCAGCAAAAATAAAACCCTTCCAGTAACTAACAAATTTAAATTTTACTTCATACTTTAAGACTTAATAAAGCATATTAACAGTTATTTCAAAACAAAGACTAAGCAAACACAGACACTGTAAAAAGTATACCATTGAACAGTATCTGAAATCATCTAAAGCTTTAAATTACACATTTGGTTGATAATATATTTTTCTTTATGCTGAATTATTAAAAACAAATACTTCTTTACATGATTACCATCTATCTCTGTTAGTTGTTTCTCATGAACTACAACTTACAATAGTTCATTACAATTGATGGCAAAGACTTATTGAGTAGTGAAATTACTTAAATACAAATCCTAGTGTATGAATAAGAAAAATGTGATGAACTGGGAAAGGAAGAAAATGAAATGTAAGAGACTACTAGGTGGGAGTGCAGTGAGAATATAAACACCAGAAACTGCAATTCATCAAACAGGAAGTCCTGAAATCACATGACATACAGGAAAATAAAAATTAAAAATAAATGAAAAAGGGGCAAGGTAGGCAGGATCCATAGAGCCTACCAAAAATTTAAAACGCTTTAAATAAATACAAGTCTGTTTTTTAAAAAGCAATTGCGAGAATAAGACATATTTAAATAATCTGTTGACTATTATTGAGGGAATACCTTAACTTTCTATTTTCCTAATAGTTACTCAATAATCCTATTAACATCTATCCATTAACTGTCAAAATACTAAAAATAATTCTCTCCTGAAATATATAATTAAAAACTTACAATGGCCACAGATTTCTTTTCCCCCAAAGACAACAGGAAAACTCAAGTGTATTATATTTACAATTAAGATATACCATCAGAATTAAATGTATCTTACCCATTAATGTTGCTAAAAGACACAAGGAGTACATTTCTTTTTCAGCTTGCTCCTGAAGTTCCTTAGATGACAGTTTACCAGTAACAGCAATATCTTCTTGTTTCACAGTGTGGGCTGAGTGTGCTGCAGCAGACTGACCACCTTCAGCTTTACTTTTTAGAATTTCTATTGTAATTCTGTCGCCGTGCTGTAAAGGAACTGGTTCCTTTTCCATTCCTGCCTGTGGTGGCATTAACTCTTTAGGAGGAAACCCGTATCGAATACACTGTAAATATGGAGGAATGTTGAACTCTCTGGCTATACTTTCCTGAAGTTCAAAAAAGGTTGTTGAAGACTTAAGGGTAACCATGGACTGTCGTCCATCATTAGTTGTGATTCGGATCTTCTTCTCCTTAGAAGTTGTAGGTGAATAGGGAGCCTTGGTAGGTGTAGCAGGTGCAGAGGATGGACCATCACGAATGGAACTGGGAGAAACAGTCCTGGGTTGCCCTTTTTGTTCTTGTTTTAACTTCTCTGTTTTCCGTTTCTGCATTACAGAAGCCTGTTCCGTAATATTCTGTTGAATAGTTCTTTCAGTTTTACTCATGTTTAACTCCTCCTTGTGCAAAGTTTTTGTTTTCTGCCCGGTAAGAATAATTTTAGTTGGGAGCTGAGACTCTGATTCTTGTCCTTGAACATCTCCAACTCTTTGGGCATGAGCACCATCTATATTTACAGGAGTATAATCATCGGGATTCTTTTTGGCAGTCTGATGCAATATAGTGTGGACAACTTTCTGAACTAGGATTTCACTCCCAAATTCACCTGGAAAGTGCTTGGTAACAAGTTTCATTGCAACATCGTAAACATTACTATTCAAAGATGAATCACTTTCATACTGGAACCAATATACTGTCTCTCTGACCACTCTTCCACCCCATTCTAAAGTAATAGGGAAAGCTTCTGGTAGATTGTCATACTCCTTACCATCCCAAAAGTGTTTGAATCCACAACCACATTTGCCACCAGTGGACCTAGAATTAGTTCTGTCTCCATCCAAATACACAATAGACCCATCTCCTCTGACCTTTCGCACAGATGTGCCATGGCACCAATTACAAGCTGTTAGGTTACTCAATCCATAGTCTGGTACCAGAACATCTTTCACTGAATCATATGAGCAAACCAAATTGTTCAAGGGAAAGCTATAATTTTTGTCAGTCCTCAGCTGTCCATGAGTACTTTTTGCCAGGTTATACAATTTCCCTCCAGGAGCCAACCACTCTGGAGGAACATGAAGTTCAGAAAGGGCACCACAGAGCAAACATTTGTGAAGGCGATTATCCATTACTGCTTTTTTAGCAGCTGCTGTGACTTCTTCAGGCTGAACTCCTATCACTCCAGTCCTTCTGTAGAAATACTGATGGACGTCAGCAACCAAACTAGGATGGATACCATGTTTGTCCATAAAGACTTCTTCCATAGCAGCAACAAGCCTAAGTAAGTATTTATCTTGCAAACTTCTGTCACCTCCAATAACACAACCACCATCCTCTTCAAGTTTGATGTACTTTTTAATAAGGTCCTGAGGCACACCCCATGCTTTAGGAAGCAAATTCATAGGCAGTTTGGGCAAAGCAGCCCCTTTTATGCCTACCAAGGGGATATAATGGTTTCTACCGGAGCTGCTCCATGCAATACAGATTGGTTTGTTCAAATGACCATCTTTCCCAGTGCATTTCTCTGCAGGGATGAGCCCAGGTAGAAAGGTGGCTGAATAATCACCAGAGCTTCTCATGCCACTGAGGGAATCTAACAGAATAATAGGACGATGTAGCACATTGGCAAGACCAAATATGTGGATATTCCTCAGGCCCAAGGGAACACCCTCAGGTGGTACAAACAGAGGGTCACACTCATTGATAATGTCCTCCCACTCAGCGGCATCAATGAAGTCATGGAACAGAGCTTGATATCGGGCCAAGTGCTGCTGAAAGTGCTGTTTAAGATTCTCTCTTAAGGCATGCCAGAAGAGCTCTCGGCCTACTAGAGCACGAGACACAGCATGCACCAGGCAGTGTCCATCCCCGTCCACATGCACTGGAATGAGACATTCCTGACTTTTATTGGCCCGCTTAATGTCTTCCAGAGTATCATGCAAATACAGGAGGCTTCCGGAGCGGTCCTTGCCATAGCCCACAGTGTTAACATGCTCTGGTTCTATGAGGAAGGCGCGGTCGCCCAGTAAGGCGCAATCGAAGAGTTCGCCCTGGTTCATGTCCCGGAGAAGCTTGGCCCGGCCTGTCTGTTTGTCCATTCCATAGCGAGCTAATATGGGCGACAACAATTTGCAGTGATAGTTGGAAAGGCCCATCACCTTTACCAGTTCCGTGTTCTTCTTGGGTGCCCCTGTCACCCCGAGCAGCGCGTTCCGCAGCAGGTTGTGTAGCACTACGTCCGGGTCGGTCACCTCCTCAACCCCCAGCAGCTGTTGCTGCTCGTGCCGCTGGCCGCACTCGGTACACTCGATGCTGACAGAACCGGAGGCCGGGAAGAACAGACGCGCCTGGCACTTCGGATCCGGGCAGCTCCCGGAAAGGATTCTCCGGTCTCTCCGCTTCAAAAGCCCCCCCGAAGCAGCCGCCGACGCCAGGGACGACGGAGTCTGTGGAGCCTCAGGGGGAGGAGGTGGCGGCGGCAGCGGAGGCGGCGGCGGCGGCTGAGACATAGCTCCCGGCTCTCGTGTCTCGCTCCGCGTCCCAAGCGACCCTCAAAAGCTCATAGCCCAGACCCCCACCAACCCGACTCGGTCTAATCCAGGCCCAGGGTGAAACACTTTCCTTTCCCTACCAGCTCCTCCTCCTCCTAAGCGAAGGCGGAAGCGCCGGACGTTGTTTCTCTTCTTACTTCTCCACTGCCGTAGCCGTTGCCCCGAACGTAACGGCCACCACCCCACCCCGCACTCACACTCACTCACTCTCGCTCTCTCCCTCAGACACAGACATACACGCCCTCATTGCGTGTGCGCAGGCGCAGCTTCCGCTCTGCCCTCTGGGAATTAGAGTCTTCTAGCCTCTGTGCTGGCCATCGAGCCCTAGGATCTTGAGTCCAGAAGGAACTACAAGTACCGTGAGGCCAAGCGGTTCAGCGCTAGCGGAGAGGAGGAAGAGGACGGCAAGAGGAAAAGGGGCCAAAGAAAGATGGTGACTCGCGTTGCCTGCTGGTAGTTGTAGTTTTGCTGGGCTCTCCTTCGTCTTCTTCCCCACTCTGCAGCCCAAGCCAAAGAGTCTGAGAGACCACATTTCCTAGGATGCCGTGCGGTGCGTCCGGCTGCACTTCCTCCTTAGGCGGAGGGAAGGATTCAGGGAAGGATTCTTGGTTAAAACCAGAGTTAAAGGCAGTGGGAGTCGAAGGAGAGGGTCTGAAGTTCACGACTACTAGAAGGGGAGGGGAGTGGAAATGATCTCAGTGAAAAAGGTACAGTAAATAAATGTCCAGGGATACTGTGGGCTGGGAAATTGAATAAGTGGTCCAATCTAGGCTGAAAGCCATAAGGGGGAAAATAGTTGATTCTCGGAAGCTCTGCCTTCCCCCCTTCTCTAGTGCGAGTCACTGAGGCGCCATTTGAGTTCTCGTTTCCTGCGTGTCTTGGCAGTTTACAGTACAAATAACGGTACCTTGGATGTCTGTAGAGTTTTATGTGCATGTACAAAGCCTCTTAACTAAGTTTAATTTCATTTGCTCTTTACCACCCTAGCCCCCTAGAGAGTAATAAGAGCTATCATTTATTAAGTGCTTAATATGTGCCTGAACAGCATTTACATAACACGATTATCATTTGATCTTAAAAATAACCTTCTTAGGAAACAGGCCCAGAAAGGAAATGACTTGCCAAAGTTCACGCAGCTGATAAGTGACTGGATAGACCTTCAGATCTCAATCCGTCCTCTTTTTACAGATAAGGACATAGGCAGGAAAGGTTAGGCCTGTATTACATAGAATAGTAACTAGCATTTGCTTACTATTGCCTTATAGTTTACATGTTTAGTAATATGTTCACATGTATCATCCTCACCAGTCCTGTAATACCTTTACCAGGTGGTATTGACTTCATTTACAATTAGGGAAACTGACACTAAAAGGAATTAAGTAACTTGCCCAAGGTCAAATCACCAGTTACGCTGGATCCCAATCTCAAACCTAGAGTGATTTTTATGCTGCTTTTTACCAAAAAAATCCGGCCGGGCGCGGTGGCTCACGCCAGTAATCCCAGAACTTTGGGAGGCCGAGGCGGGCGAATCAGGAGATCGAGACCATCCTGGCTAACACGGTGCAACCCCGTCTCTACTAAAAATACAAAAAAATTAGCCAGGCGTGGTGGCGGGCGCCTGTTAGTCCCAGCTACTTGGGAGGCTGAGGCAGGAGAATGGCGTGAACCCGGGAGGCGGAGCTTGCAGTGAGCCCAGATTGCGCCACTGCACTCCAGCCTGGGCGACAGAGCAAGACTCTGTCTCAAAAACAAAACAAAACAAAACAAAAAAATGTTAGGCTCAGATCTTTTGCTAGGCCTTAGAATCTCCTCTTAGTGATGCAGGGATGTTTACTATTAAGGAGTCAACAGCTTTATTCTTTTTTCACCTGTGTTGGAAACTGCCTCTTCATACAGAACAATATTCATATGTTAATTGAAAGCTAGTATTAATTATTTTTGTACATTCATCCCCTTTCACTTATCATTCCGGAAATTCTTGCTTTCTGGAAGCTTAGTATCACCTTGGGTAAGTGGACTACCTCAAAAGTTCTGAAACACTTGGCACAAACTAGAGACATTAGTGAAGTCCGTGAGATCATTTGAGTCTTCTGTAGCTGCCCAGGAAACCTCCTGATTAGGTTTTGTGTGTGCGTGTGTGTGTGTATGTTTATGTGTATGTATGTAGAATTTGATGCTTTGAAATGAACCATCTGTAAAATAGAGGCCCATAAAGGGTATTAGTTTTGATGTGCACCTAATTGTTACAATTTTCTTGAAAAGAAATTAAATATTTGAAAGAGAAATCCTTCAAATGTTATTTTCTTGCCAATTTTACCTCCATGATGGACCCAACCAAGAGAAGTGATTTTTCCTATCTTGGGATATTTTTCTTTATTTTTTATTTTTTATTTTATTTTATTTTTTGAGACAGAGTTTCACTGTTGTTGCCCAGGCTGGAGTGCAATGGTGCCATCTCGGCTCACCATAACCTCCACCTCCTGGGTTCAAGCGATTCTCCTGCCTCAGCCTGCGGAGTAGCTGGGATTACAGGCATGCGCCACCATGCCCGGTTAATTTTGTATTTTTAGTAGAGACGGGGTTTCTCCATCTTGCTCAGGCTGGTTTTGAACTCCTGACCTCAGGTAATCCGCCCACCTTGGCTTCCCAAAGTGCTGGGATTACAGGCGCCAGCTACTGTGCCCAGCCAGAGGGGATATTTTTCAATAAAGTTTTTCTCAAATAATTAATGCAGGAAAAGTTGTTTATTCCAACGCGTTTGGTGGTAACTACACAGATTGGTTTTGGCACTGATTTTTTATTAACAATTGAATGCTTTATGAGTAGAGGAATTGGATATCTCCTTTAAGTGGAGATTATTTTATGCTGTGACTAAAAGGTTACACCTGCAGCGAAACTTTTTCTCATACAGAATCCAAATAATTGAATTAAAGCTTTGTAGCACGTGAGATGACAACAGTCTGCAATTCTAACACCGTCATGTACTTTTATATCTTAACAACACCAAGCCACATTTTTCTTATTGATGGTACATATAGTGAAGTAGATTTTTAAAATTGTATTTGAATGTGTCATTCTGAATCATACCTTTACAAAATAATCACTTCCCACCCCACTGAAGAAATGAGAAGCCTTTTTCTGGCTTGTCTAGATCATTTTTTAAGTTTGTAGATGCACTCAAAGTTCAGAAAGTAAGAAAGCTAACATACAGGGGCAATGAAATTAATCATACCAAGTTTAATGTGTGAATTAATTCTTTATTACTAGCACTTAGAAGGCATGGGTACCTACAAAGAAAAAAAATTGTTAGGTCAAAAATAGGACATACTGTTTCTTATAAGAGCATAGGAGGGTAGAAAGCCTCTCATCTGCTTATGCAAGATCTACAGGCTTCCTTCCTCCATCCCCCCCAAATTCCATGATCTTGCCTAATGAAGATTAACTTAACTACCTAATTAACTTTCACAGGATTTTTGTGGGGTAGATAATAGTTCTTGTTTTTAGTATTCCAGATGAAAAGAATAAGCTGGGCCCCTGACATTAGCTGTGCTGATACACATCTCTTCTACCACCATCACCCCAGCATCACTAATATCTAAATGTCCAAAATTCAGTTGAAATTGAAATTCATCTTTTTCATAGTTTCTAGTATGGCACTTGTAAACTCCCTGTATTGCTTTTAACAAACATGGTAAATGTAAATGCAGAAGTCACCCACTTTTACCAACAGAACAACTATCATTGTTCTTGATCTTTTATATTTTATATATGTAAGGAAGGGAATCATAACTTTGGGAATTGCTGTAAGTTGGCCACATACCTGCTTATATAAACTATACATCTTTACTAAGAATTGACTGTGTTCTTCCAGACCCGTACCACATATAATCAGACTTCCAGTCACAAACTTCCACTGAAGCTCAAAGTGGATTTGTGAACACTAATTACTGAAGTAGGTATTATAAGAATTTAAAGGGATGCAAAATTTCATCTCTGTCTCAGAGGAGCTTTGAGTTTGATAGAAGAGAGAGGCTAAACTAAATTGTTCATAAATATAAGTAGAATAAAGCATAGAATCAAAATACAGGAAATATCACAAATGCTAAGAAAATTTAATTGAGGATTTATTATAGGGCAGTGTTTTGAGTATATCATCTTAATCTTTAAAACACTCCTGTGATACAGTATTGTCCTTATACAGGATAAGATTTAACTCTAAAGGTTAACATCGTTTTTATTACCACCAGCTATGAAATAGAGCTGGGCTTCAAATCAAGGTTTTCCTTGTTCGGCACTCAGTCTTTCCACTACATCACAGCTGCTTACTGATTTGAGAGAGAATTAGCCAAGAAGTCAATACAAACTGGTGGCCAGTAGCCAAACTCGGCTTGATGTAGTTTTGTTGGGTCAGCAGCAGTTTAACTTTTTTGTTGTTGTTGTTGTTGTTGTTGTTGTTGTTGTTGTTGTTGTTTGAGACGGAGTCGCGCTCCGGTTGCCCAGGCTGGAGCGCAGTGGCTCAATCTCGGCTCACTGCAAGCTCCGCCTCCTGGGTTCACGCCATTCTTCTGCCTCAGTCAGCTGGAGCGCAGTGGGCTCAATCTCGGTCACTGCAAGCTCCGCCTCCTTGGCTCACGCTTGCAGTGCATTCTTCTGCCTCTGTCTGAGTAGCTGGGACTACAGGCGCCCGCCACCACGCCTGGCTAATTTGTATTTTTAGTAGAGATTGGGTTTCACCTTTTTAGCCAGGATGGTCTCGATCTCCTGACCTCGTGATCCGCCTCCCTCGGCCTCCCAAAGTGCTGGGATTACAGGCGTGAGCCACCGTGCCCGGCCTTTTTTTTTTTTTTTTCCTAATGTGAATGTCTTTCAGCAGTGGCCAGTATTTCACTCTTTAAGGCCTTACACAGGGCCCCTTGAGACAAATGACCAAGTACAGAGATACAAGTTATTCCTTCACACAGTAGTCCTCAAGCTTTAATGTGCATGACAGTCAAATGGAAGGCTTGCTAAAACACAGATTGCTGGGCTCCATCTTAGAATGAATGTGTCTCAGGTGGAGCCTGAGAATTACATTTCTAGCAAGTTCTCTGGTTGCAGATGCTGCCAGTCCTTGCGAGGATCACACTTTGAGAATCACTGCTTACCAAACTTGTAGGACACTTTTGGGGAAGATCTTGTTGTTGTGTTTCTGTTGTTTATAATACAAAAGGAATTGCGTGTCAGAATGTACAGAAATAGGT